GAAAAATTACTTAGATGGATCCATGGTGTCTGATAAATCAGCTATAGTGGGACCCATTTTATTGTTCGCGTTACTTTCCCAACCGACCAAAGGACTCTGAAACAGAGTATCTCTCACCGCTTTGTAATTCTCGTATTGCTTGGTTTTAAGCTTGAAGACGAGACTCTTCTGTGCCTTATTTCCCCGTATAGATATAAGTTGAATGATTCTGGAGAAGTAATGGGTAGGACAGTGCCAACATAGTAAGCACAACAGATTGCGCAAGGGCCAGCCTGGCTCGGAACTCGTACAAGCGTCATAAAATGCAAAATAAATTTCTTTGTATTCCTAAAAAATAAATTATATCAAAAAAAAAAATTACATAATTTATTAAAATTATCTAAATAATTTGTTTTATACCTGTGACTGCTTTTCTGTATGCAAATTAATCACCTCTACTCCTGTTGCTAAATCAGCAATGCTCATTTTGTCATCCTTGGATATTAAAACTGTAAAGTAATTTTTTGCCCTGCTATCTAATTGTAAAAATCCTCTACACAAATCTTCTGCATGATTAGTCGTAAATTCTTCATTGATCAATTTTGGAGCTTCTTGGTAGTACATTTCAGGTAATATCAAAGGTGTAGGATGTGCAACCCAATAATAGAATTTATATTTTTTCAAGTCTGAATAAGCTAGAACTAAAAACAGGGACAGTTTCCATGACTCTTGCAAAACAGAACCATCTTTAATACTGTCAATCATGTTCCTTCCCATGGAATCAATGAACTTCTCAGGATTGGTTTGTAGGAATGCTTCAAAAGTGTTGGTATTAATCATATGCCCGAAGCAGATAACGGATGAATTATTACTGACTGTCTCCAAGTCTCTAAAAATTACCTACATGGAGTTAATTCTGACAAAAGCTTATAATGATCTAAGAAATACATGCAAACAGTCATTCTATGACCTATATCAAAACTTACTCGTTAAAGGATGTGAAATCCAATACCAATGGATTGGTATTGTTCTCATTCAAAGCCTGCAGACTGTAACTTCCCCATAAATTGATCACTATCTTTTCATCCAGTTTGAACTTGTCAATTTTCAATTCAGCAAATTTTGCCCAGAATGTGCAGTCTGTAGTGGTCCTCAGTTTAGTGAATTTCACGTATTCCGACATTTTTCCAGCTTCTGATAGATTTGCAAAATGATCAAGTTATTTCATGAAATGTGTCACTGAAATAATGATAATAACAACATTGCTCACCAAGTATGTTTATTATGAAATTCTAAACGCACAATAGCCAGGTCTACTTATCATGAAAGTAACACGAACAAACCACTTTTACGATCGTCGATAATAATTGAACTGACACAATGGAAACTGATACACGACACAGGAAAATACATAGAAATCCTGAAAAATAATTCTCGTTTATATGCTAAATCATGTATTTATGAAATATTCTGCACACGCATGCGCGTGTTTAATACAAATTAACAAAGGAATTGCACCCTTTCAAAACCAACCATTGAGACTCTTTCCACAAATTCATTTGATTACCTGCAAAAAACAATAACAGAATTCTTTGATAACAACTGCCATTCAACAACAATCTATAGTATCGTTGACATAATTTTTAATCTTTCACAAACAAAAAGAAAATAATATTCCGTCTTAGAAAAGTCATAAATTTTAATAACTCTTTGTCAGTAGAAAAAGAATTAAAATATTAACTTTCATTTTAATCTAATATCAATATATTGTATCTACCCAAATTTCAACGAACTTAAATTTAATTTTCGTTTTCTTTTTATTTAAGGTTACTTCCTTATTTTTAGAAAAAGAAAACAACTGATGTTGGTGAAAGTAACAATATGTTCCTGTTCTTTGTTGAGAAATAGGAGTATATCGTTGGTACGGCACTGTTGGTGACGTCACAAAGACAGTATGGCCGGGCAGCATCGGCTGTCTGCATTGTAACCGATAGAAAACGCTTTCTGGGGGTTCGACGGGATATTTTTAAGGAAATATGTCGGATTACTTGAGATCTGCCCTGGGATATTTGAATGGAGCAACAAATACGAACGAATACGTTGGACAAGTACTGGAAATTAACAATGTGAAATTACGCGTGACCAGGCTACTCGCTGAGGGTGAGTCTGACAACCCTCCTATTACCACTTCACGGTCATACAATTTTATACCACTAAAATTTTTCCATATCATGATCATTCTTAATTCACAAGTAGAGATACTCATTATCTGATGTAACATCCTTAAATAATGGAAAATAGTGGCTGACATTCTGCCAACACTCTGAACTGTCCACTTATTGACATGTGTCAAATGTGTTTTGACATTGCAAGTATAGACTGAATTTTGCTATATTTTTCAAGCTTGTTAAAAAATGATAGTTCGTTATATATATTTTTAATGTTTCTATAGAACAATTGCTAGCTACATCAGTATATTAAGTATTGCTACATAATTCTTTGTCAAAATATAATGCAATATATAATATTAAAAAAAAAAAAGTAGATATATTAAGTGTGTAGAGAATTGAACGAAATTTTTTTTCTGGGTAATAAAAAATTGTTGATTCAATCAAAAATATGAATTTTAGGGAATACTTGAGTGACTGTGAGAGACTTCTACCACAAAAGTTTTGTCTTATATATTTCTTCGCTGTTTCTCATAAAAAAAAATTTGTTCATCTTAGAGTTGCTTATTATTACCAATACTTAAAAAGTGTATGTTAAACAATTGTGTCAACAGGTGGTTGGGCTCTAGTGTTTGCAGTAGAAGATATAAGTACAGGGAAGGAATATGCCCTTAAGGTAATCTATGCACCATTAAATCACCCCAACATGATCAAAACTTTCTTCTAATGTACATTACGTTTTTAGAGACTCATTGCTGTGGACGAGGACGCAAACAAAAGTATCATACAAGAAATAGAGACTTTGAAAAGGTTATCGGGCCACTCAAACATAATCCAATATCTATATGCCCAACGTATAGATCGCGAGGATCGCAAAGGCTATGAATACTTATTGGTGACAGAGCTATGCCCTGGTGGCACACTTGCAGACATACTCAGAAGCCTATCAGCTAATTCCCTTACTCTTGCCCAAATCTGTAAGATAGCCTACCAGGCAACCAAGGCTGTACATCACATGCACAACCAGCAGCCTGAGCCCCTAGTTCACAGAGACATAAAACTAGAGAATTTTCTAGTTGGAAATGATGGTCTGATCAAGCTCTGTGATTTTGGTAGTGCTTCCAATCAGCAGATCTTGCCAAACCCCTCATGGAACGCTCAGAAACGTGCCACATTGGAGGATCAGATGGCAAAATACACAACCCCTATGTACCGTGCACCAGAGATGATGGACACCTGGAACAATGAGCCTATTGGTCCACCAGTGGACTGCTGGGCCCTCGGTTGTATAATTTACGCTTTGATAACACTGAGACATCCATTCCCCGAGGGTACGGCAACCTCAATCGCGTGAATTTTAGGGTCAGTTTTTATTCACCACTTTCTCATTCACAGGCAACAAGCTAGCCATAGTGAATGGCAAGTATCCACCACTTCCGCCGAACCCCCGCCTGTCCTGTCTCCATGACATAGTGAAGGGATGCCTGGACGTGTCTCCAGTGCGAAGACTGACCACATCCATGATCCTGGAGCGTCTAGCGGCTATAGCAGAGTCGAACAACTTTGATCCCAGAGAACCCCCGAAAGTGGAAGTTGCTGTGAAGACTCAACCTCCTCCCAGACCTACTCCACCGCCCAGTACACCCACCCCTCCACCAAGACCATCTCCACCAGTTAGTGTACCACCTCCACGACCTTCTCCAGCTCAGACAACCGTGGCCAAAGTCCCGGTAGCTCAAACGTCAGCCTTATTTAGCTCTCTGAAAGGTGGTGCGGGTAGTATACTACGCAACCTGAAAGATACCTCGAGCAAAATGATGCACTCTATGCAGCAGAGCATGGCCAGAACTGAATTGGATGCCAGTTACTTAACTTCACGCATACTGATCATGCCCTATCCAGCGGATGGGATTGAGTCTGCCTACAGAGCTAACCATGTAGAGGACGTCAGAGCATTTCTTCAGGCTAGACATCCTCCACCAGCTCGTATACAATTGTACAACCTGTCTCGTGGACGGCCAAATGTCTCCAGGCTCCCTGGCAGACACATAGACTGTTCCTTCGCCTATGCTTCTTCGGATTCTAACGCTCCACTGCTGTCAGCGCTGTACCAGATTTGTCAGGATATCTATCGGTACCTGAACGCTGACTTTAACCATGTTGTAGTGTTGTATTGTACTGTGAGTAGAATTTAAAGAAGCTGGATGAAACATTGATGAAAAAAACTAATTCTAATATTATTCTCTTTCACTCTAGGATGGATATAGGGCTAGTGCAACAGTAGCGTGTACTCTCTTAATCTACGCCAGGGGATTCTCGACTCCTGAAGAGGCTATAGCAATGTTCACAACTAGAAGACAATCTCCTCAGCTGCAACCCTCAGAATTGCGTAGTATTAACTACATGAGCTTTCTCAGCACCGGTGTACAGCCCCACACGAAACCTCTGGCCCTTCGTTCCTTGGTTATTCAACCTGTTCCCTTGTTCACCAGGGCTAGAGACGGCTGTAGACCGTATATTGATATTTATAGCAACGGTGCTTTGGTATTTTCCACTAAACGGCCAGAATATGAGGATATGAGACTGTTCGGGATGATGGAGGGCAAGTTTTCCTTGCCATTGGGTAATGCAACTGTCAGAGGAGATGTTACTATAGTTATATATCATGCCAGGCAGCAACTGGGCCGCGTGATCGGGATCAAGATTGCCTCTGTTCATTTTCATACTGGTTATATACCATTGACTGAGTCTGCATTGACGTTTAAGAAAAAGGATTTGGATGACGCGCCGGAAATTGGCTCGAACTTTAGCGTTATCTTAAATATCGTGGTAACTGAGGAGAATTTTAAGCTAGCTAGAGTTCCAGCTCCATGGGAAGCGGAGTTGTCCACGAATTTGGAGCCTGATCCACTGTTTGCATCTACCTTGGAGATGGAAGAGACTTTGGAAAGTTTCAGAATTTCGAAGCCAGAAGAGGTAAATTAAAATAAATTTAGAAGGATGCGCGTATAGTTCAGTTTTGTGAAATTTTTGCTGTCAAATTTTAGATTCAGAAGGAAGTGATAACCCCACCACCGCCTGAAGCACCCAGTAGCGTGAACGAAGAAGTGCCTCAACAACCAGTAGAGAGCGCGGAAGTAGAGCTAACGGAAGAAGAGACTAAATTACAAGAAGCAGACTTGTTGAACTTAGGAATGCCAGACACCAGTACCTTAAATACTCCTCAGCCAGCACCAAACCCTGGATTAGATATTTTTTCTAGTTCTAGTCAAAAAGAAAATGATCTCTTAGAGGGTTTTGGTGTTTTTGCTCAGCAAGAAACAAAGACTACAGCCGAGAACAACCTGCTCTTCGGACACGATCAGCCTACACCTAGGAACGATACTACTAACAATAATTTAAACAACTTATTCTTCAATCAGAGTAAGCAACCCGTAAACAAACAGAGTCTGAATGACTTCTTTGACCCTCTGATTGGAACAACGACGAACAATCTCTTAGGAGGCATGCCAGGATCCAAGCAGAATACCGTAAAGCCTCCAAACGTTGAAGAGAACTTACCAAGAAACTCCAGCGTACCAAATTTTGCAGCACAGAGTAAAGATCCATTCGCTAACCTCGCCAGCTCTTTAGGAGCTGGTCTAGCCTCCAGCTGGAACGTAACACCGAGAAATTCCAATACTCCACAGTCGGCCAGTCCCGCTCCGGCTAGCACACCCATTCATTCGAGTCCTAATACGCACAGAAATACCTCCAACGAGACCAATACCGCGGACAACAATAGTGCACCAGGCAATAAAACAACGAAATCCGGTGGAGATGCCTTCGAGGATCTACTTGGTAGTCAAGGATATAATTTCTTCAGCTCCAGGAAGGCGGAGAAGGACAGTCCAAAGACAATAAATCAAATGAGGAAAGTGGAGGCGGCAAAAGTTATGGATCCTGATAGCATGAAGATCGCCGAGTGGACGGAAGGCAAGAAGGGCAATTTGCGTGCTCTTCTTTGCTCTATGCATACGGTTTTGTGGCCAGAGGCAGACAGATGGCAACGCTGCGAGATGCACCAGTTGGTCAGCCCTGCTGACGTGAAGAAAGCCTACAGGAAAGCTTGCCTGGCCGTGCATCCGGATAAGGTACGGTAAATAATATGGGAATCATGAAGAAATTAAAAATAATCTGATAATTTTTTACTTTTTTCTTGTAAATTATTATTACAGCTAGCCGGCACGGCCAACGAGAACATAGCAAAGTTGATTTTCATGGAACTGAACAACGCCTGGAGCACATTCGAGAACGACGCGTCGCAACAAAATTTATTTAGCTAATTCCAATGACTGTTATACTACACTTGTTATGTCCAAGATTTAATAAGGTAGTTCGTTACATTCCAGCTATGTTATCTTAGCTGTAGCGACTAAAAAAAAAAGAAAAAAGAAAAAAAGAAATTTAACGGGAACTTTCGAAAGCTGCATTTGAAATATGGCTAACCTGTGTACATGCATCCTTATCGTACTGAGAAAAGAAAAAAAGAAAAAAAGAACAGCCTTGTAAGAACACTTAAAAGAAAAATAATACTGTATTAAGCGTACTGCGGCGTAATAACGTATATATGTATATAAGGCAATGTAAATTATGGAAGATTCCAAATATATAAAGATATTTTCCGGCCAAGTATGTCGTTTCATGCCCTGTTACCCATTTTTATCATAATCATTCCGTTAATTAAAAGGCTTCCTCTACACGCGAATAATCTTGACAATTCTACGACAGATAACGCGAAATTTCCTGATGAAAGAAAAAGCAGGTTTTATACGTTTGACATTTTCCAAAAGAAAAGGGTGTATTAAAAAATTAAAAGAGGACGACCGATCTTATTGTTCAATGCCTCATGGCCCACAGAGAGACGCACATGAGATATACGTATATAGTAACACGTATCTGTGCCGGGAGTAGTATGTGTATCGTAGGGGTGAAATTTAAAGGGAGGGGCTGCTCGAAAATGGCTGTTATGCACGGGGTAGGACGTCTAGAAGAGGGCAAGTGACTGTCGGTTTATCCCTGTCTTCCACACTGACCAATTGACATTATTTTACGACAATTGATACGGTTACCTAATCGATAGCTATTATGTGGCGACTAAGAAGCAATCTTCGTGCTCCTCTTCACCCACCCCCGGACCTGCGACGACATATGATTCGCCTCGGGAAAAGGTAAACTGTTCCTGCAATTCGTTCTTTTCCGCGTTTAAAAATTAACAAATCTAACGATTAAACGCCGAAAATTCTACATTACGATCTCTCGTGCGTGCAAATCGTAATTAAATCTCGTAGAAAGTGAATGTTGCAAACGGGAGCATCACAACTGA